TGGTTGCCATGGCAACCATCACCAAACGCTTTGCTACAGCCCATTGCCATGGGCAATGCCACTGAGATTCATTGCTAAGGTCAGTTACCATGGCAACCATCCTAAATTCTCATTGCTAAGGTCAGTTACCATGGCAACCATCCTAAATTCCCATTGCTACGGTCAGTTACTTCAATGTCCTGCTTACAGAGAAGGGGGTGGAGTTTAGTGCAGTGTGGGGATGACCAGGTATTTATTCTACATCCATGTCATCGCTGGGAATGTGGTTTGGGCAGGAAAAGCCAGGGCTCTGGACACAAAGTGCCCCATCCTGCTTTGCTCTCTCTGGTGGAGGGACTGTCAGCATCAGACCTGTGCTTCCTGTCCTCTGCCCCACTGGTTTCCCCTCCCATTTTCTCCGGAGCATGACAACGGACCTCTGATGCTGAAAGGGACAGGGGAAAAACATAATCGACAACAGTGCTGAACCAACAGCTCCTGCGGGGAAGCTGCCAGCAGAGACAGAGTGGTGACAAGGTGATCCCCCCTCAGGCTGAGCTTCTCAAGCAAGAGAAAAGCAGGCCTGCACAGGACTGAGCCTCAAGGAGCGGCTGCGTGGCACTACCAGGACGGCCCAGCTCTTGGGGTTTGGTTTGTCCTTGTTTTCAGGCTGAGGGGGTGGGAAATGTTAGCCTTGGCATATTGCTGTGTTAGCTCCCCGAGCACATTGCCTTCATTTCCCAAATACCACTTGGCACAGCATGTGGGAGCTCCCCCACCACATTGCCTTTGTCTGGGGACACTATGCAGACACATCCCACGAGGAGCACCTGCAATCTTGTTTGTGTGCCCAGTGGTGAATACCTTTTGGGGGTGAAACACTTTCTTTTTTTGTATACTTTTGCTCTTAATATTGCTGTTGTTACTGTGCGTGTCTTATTCCATTGCTGTGTGCTTTCAGAAAATTGTTATCTGAACCCACAGTCTCTCCTTTTTTGTCCATCCCTTGCCAAAAGGAGTGGGAGAAGGGGAGTGACTTATCTGGATTTTAATTTCCTGCTGATGTTAAAACCAGCACACTTGTCATGCACCAGTCTCAGGAAAGATGGAATAATGCAGTGGACTGGTAAAGAGGAGACTGAGAGTAGTGGGTGGTGGGACNGGGTCCACTTGGTGGATATTTCAGGAGGATAGGAAATGCAGTGTGCGCCTCAAGGGGATTTGATTTTGGGTGAGAATAGCCAATGCATAAAATTGTATAATGTTAATAGCACTATGCATTCTCACTTCTGTGCTGGCTGTTTGCCATGTCAGGGGTATTACAATAAAAATCACTGAGAGTAATGAACAATGAACTTTGATGAGACCAGAGAAGTAGAACGGTGATGGAACAAGAACTGGTTTCAACATGGAACAATCCAACACTAGACACCATTTTTCCAGTACTGACAGAGTATTATATCAGATGGAGCCCAAAGTCATGGGCTAAATGAACTCAACAGAGTTTTATAGACATAGTTCATACACTAAACAATGAGATGTGTGAGTTTATATCAAATTACAGGAAAGGTGGTGATGGAATGTATTGGAAAAGGTGGGAGCAGGCATGACGTAAATGGTATGGAATAAGGGGTGGACACACAACAGCCCTTATCCCCAGGAAAGAACAACTGGAAGCTACGGCTTTTTCTTGCAGTTGGGTTTTTCAGCCTGGAGACTCCTTGGGCAGCAAGAGCTTTCGGTGCTGGCACCTTTGAGTCAGAGGAATCTTTGTTTGTATGCAATTTTGAGAGTCTGGCTGGCATTTGGGACATAGGTCTGAAAACAGGAAACAACAGCCCTTATCCCCAGGAAAGAAAGACTGGAAGCTTTGGCTTTATGGTGCAGTTGGTGGGCAAGTCTGGGCACTGCATGAGCAGCAAGAGCTTTCTGTGCTGGAAACTTTAGTCTGTGAGATATCTTTGTTTGTATTCAATTCTGGAAGTCAGGTTGTCATTTTGAAGGAATGGTAAAAAAGAGTAAACAAGAGCCCTTATTGGCAGGAACAACAGACTGGAAGCTTTCGCTTTTTGGTGCAGTTGTTGGGCAAGCCTGGGGACTCTATGGGCAGCAAGAGCTTTCTGTGCTGGCACCTTTGGTGTGGGAGGAATCTTCATCCGTATGCAATTTTGGGAGTCGGGCTGGCAGTTGGGAGGCAGATCTGAAAAATTAAACAACAGCCATTATGTCAGCCATAAAGACTGGAAGCTTTGACTTTCTGGTGTACTTCTTGGGTCAGCCTGGGCACTCTATTGGCAGCAAGAGCTTTCTGCGCTGGCACCTTTGGTGTGGGAGGAATCTTTGTTTGCCTGCAATTTTGGGAGTAGGGCTGGCAGTTCGGAGGTAGACCTGAAAAATGAAACAACAGTCATTACACCAGGCAAGAGAGACTGGAAGCTTTGGCTTTGTGGTGTACTTGGTGGGTCAGCCTGGGCAGTCTATGGGCAGCAAGAGCTTTCTGTGCTGGCACCTTTGGTGTGGGAGGAATCTTTGTCCGTACGCAATTTTGAGAGTCAAGGTGGCTATTGTTAGGGCTGAAAACAGGAAACAACAGCCGTTTTCGCCAGGAAAGAAAGCCTGGAAGCTTTCACTTTTTGGTGCAGTTGCTTTTTCAGTCTTGGGACTCCATGGTCAGCAAGAGCTTTCTGTGCTGGCACCTTTGTTCTGGGAAGAATTTTTGTTTGTATGCAATTTTGGGAGTTGGGCTGTCAGGTTAGAGGCAGGGCTGAAAACAGGAAACAACAGCCCTCATCCCTAGGAAAGAAAGACTGGAAGATTTGGCTTTCTGGTGCAGTTGGTGTGCCAGCCTGAGCACTCCATGAACACCAAGAGCTTTCTGTGCTGGCACCTCTGTTCTGGGAGGAATCTTTGTCTGTATGCAATTTTGGGAGTCGGGTTGGCAGTTGGGAGGCAGGGCTGAAAACAGGAAACAATAGCCCTTATCGCCAGGAAAGACTAGAAGCATTGGCCTTTTGATGCAGTTGCTGTGTCAGCCTGGGGACTCCATGGGCAGCAAGAGCTTTCTGTGCTGGCACCTGTGGTGTGGGAGGAATCGTTTTCTGTTATGCAATTTTGGGAGTCAGGCTGGCATTCGGGAGGCAGGGCTGAAAACAGGAAACAACAGCCCTTATCGCCAGGAAAGAAAGACTGAATGATTTGGCTTTGTGGTGCACTTTGTGGGCCAGGTTTGGCACTCTATGGGCAGCAAGAGCTTTCTGTGCTGGCACCTTTGTTCTGGGAAGAATCTTTGTCTGTATGCAATTTTGGGAGTCGGGCTGGCAGTTGGGAGGCAGGGCTGAAAACAGGAAACAACAGCCC